AAATATACAAATACCGAATTCTCTCTATCGCCAATGTATATCACAAGTACACAAGGTTGACTAATTTTATACTGGTTGGTGAAATAATTTCTTAATATATATTACAATATCAAAATATTGTAATTTAAATATGGATGGTTGCCTAACTTGAACAACAGTGAACCCCGAAGTTGTGGACATTTTGTTCTAATTAGGGAAAAGTTCAAATAAAAATGTATCTATATATAATTTGCATCTATATATCTAAAAAGTATTTTCTTTTATGTGCTTTCTCAATTTTTATTTTGACATGTATCATTTTTATAATTCATTTAGTAAATATTTTAACCTTTATACAATGAATATTGAAGTCCAAATTAACAATCTAAGCTATTTAAAATTAATTTAATTAGATAAAAAATTAGTTATCGATGTATCGTTGCAATATAGCTTCTTTATTTATAAGTGAAAACATTAAAATTTGGAAAATAATGTGCTTATAAGAATGAATTTTCAATCTGAAAATATTAGAATATTTTTATTAATGGTTGTTTTAAAATAAATTTTAACACATGAAGTATTTCTAATGCATACGTAAAAAATATTTTAAATTTTTAAATAAATGATAAGTTAATAGCAATAAATTTTAAATTATCTGATGATAATTTTTGTATATCTTTATTCATGTTTTTTTAATAAATTTTAATTTATTTAAAATACATTTCAATTATCGAAGATAAAATTTTACATAAATTTTTAGGGAGAACTTCAAAAATACTTTTTTCCAATACCACTTTTTAAAAATACCCCTCTTTCAAATTTTATCAAAAAGTCACTAAAAATTTGAAATTTATAAAAAAAATATGTGTAAACTTATATATCTGTGTAAATATAAATATAGAAACAAATTATCTTTATATCTGTGTAAATTTATATATCTATTTCATAAACACCGTATACTCTTTAAAGATCATTTAAAAATCATATAAAAACTTTGTAAACCTTTTAAAAACATTATAAAAACCTTATAAATGTCGTTTATAACCTCTTCAAACTTTATAAATATATATATATTTTTTTTTTATATTTTGAAAACCAAAACATCCCAAATGGGCTGGGCCAAAACCTTACACAAAAGAGACCCAAAAACAAAGGAAACCCTAGATCTACGGGGAAGGAAGAAAAACTCTGGCTCTGCTGATCGCCGGAGGCAGAGTGACCGGAGCATTAAATCCGGCGGACTCAAGATCCACAACTTTGCGGCCACGACGAAGGATTGAAAACCAAAGGCGAAAGAGACCGGTTTCCGCCGATGATCCCTTTTCCTCCACCGTACCAACCCGTCACAGATCTCCCGGAAAGCTAGTCACTCCGACGACACGGTTCCGCGGTGTCAAATCCCGACCTAGCAATTCGACACACTCAAACCTAACATTTCTCCTCCTTACCCGGATTTCATGGGATCTCCGAGTAACTCCTCTTCAATCTGGACGTGAGGATGCAAAAAGACGGCGGATTCAGATGACGGTGGCTCATACCCGCCTGCTGAACCCGAAACTCCGCTCAGCCATCTAAGACCATATAGATCTACAGTTAACCTCCTCGTCAAACAGCGAAACCCACCAAACCTTCACCAGCTTCCGCCATGGACGCAGCGTACAGAAATAACGGCTGAGCCTAACAGATCTCCAAAGCATCCCGCCGTCTTCAAAACAGGAATCCACGCTGCAGAGAACCACCACCGCAAATCCGAAGCCACAACCACATCGGTGAAGAAACCACACCACCGCTGACAGAGAGGAAGAGCTACTCACTTTTGGATCTCCTTTGATTGACTATGGCAACGTTGAAGAACCGATTGGAAAAAAGGAAAAGAAAAAAAAACTAGATCTGAGAAACTTTTCGCAAGAGAGAGAGAATCTCGACTTTCAACGCAACGATTGTGCCTCTTTTATTTAGATTGTGTCTTCCAGTAGTAATTATAAATATTTAGATTGTGTCTTCCAGTAGTAATGATGATATAGATGTACTTTATATAAAAGTTTACAATTTTTCATATTTAAAATGATATATTTTTGAAAATAGATAGATAGAGTTACACCAAAAATGGCATTTCTCGTAAATTCTCAAATTTTTAACCCGTGTACACCTTATCTAATATACGTTATGAATAATCTAAAAAAAGTAAACGGAAGAAATTTTAAAAATAAAAGAAGACCTATGCAAAATTCTGAAATTTTGGCACTTTTTTTTATATATGTATTTTGCATTGCAATACAGTTAGTCGTTTACATGTAAAAAAGAAAAGAAAAGAAAAGAGTGATCACTTGTCGCAAACTAATATGCTTATTTATTTTTAAAATAGAAAGAAAAAAGTAGACTTTTGATGTGTGAAGTAGAAGTAGACTTCAACTATCATGCTCTTATTGTTGATATAAAAAAACCTTATTATCTTTTATCTTATATTGAACAAGTGTACAAGTCTGTTTCCCTTTGTGTGTTTTGTTATTATACAATCTTTATTTTGGTTTATATTGGAAATTTACTAAAAAAAATTCTATCATGTTCATCAATCTCCTAAACATCATTAAGCAACACTAAGTCAATAAGAAAAAGTTTCTTATAAAAATGAAAAAGTAATAAATTGTTTCCATAATGGCTATCTAAGATTAGAAGTTGCATGATAATCAATTAGCTTTATTTTTTCACTTTATATTTTACGTTGCTCTATAGTGGCTTTTAGCAAGCTAAGCTTTAACTAATTAGCTTTATAACTCACTCTTAGCATTTTTAATGATGGTCGTTGATCAGTTATGATGGTTTTGACAAAGTAAACAATACACTTGTCAATCTCTGATTCTAACATGCATGGCTTTAGGTTAATTCATGCTAACCCAACTTTTTTCAATATCTTAGTGGAATCTCCAAGTCACCTCCTTAATAATCAACATGATGTGTTTTCAATGTTATCGTGTCCAAAGTTGAGGTTTAGGTGCTATTTTTTGTGTGGACCATCGATCCACAACTATCATCAACCGTTGGTTTTGAAATTAAAGAACAAAACGACTTACAATATATATGCACCAAAATTCTATAAAGTATATTGAATATCCTTCTTTCCAATAATGAATGTAAAATTGTATTCAGTCAGAAATCTCATTACAAAAGAGTTTGTAATCAGTAACATCTTGATCTCATCGATCTACTACCTCCTAATTAACAACATAAATAGTTTTTTTTTTTTGTTTTAACTCTTGATTTATTATTTATTGCAAATTATGAGAATTGTTACAATGACGATTCTACTACCGGCAATTCTGTCCGACCCTTTTAGATTCACCACAGATTACACCCTTTCCTGACGACACCTCCTTCTCCATGCGTAGAATCACGGCAAACGGCTCTAATTATGCATTGTTATAGATCTCCTGTAAGCTTATCTCCTTAATCTGCAAATTAAATAAATCGCATTACCTGGATGTCGAACCCCAGACCTTTTGGTGTAGAAGCTTTAAACAACCCTTCGTCAACCACTAAATTAAGGGAGCTTCCACTAAATAGTTTTCTTTCAGTTCAATTTTTAAAAATAATAATAATAAACAATTAGTCTTATCATAAATTTTCTAACATTAAACCGATAGAACTTTATGAAAATTTTCGAGAAATATATTTTTTAGTGTACCATTTTCAAAAATATCGTTTTTATGTATTTATTTTCAAAAATACTTCTTTTTAAATATAAAAAATTATAAAATTTTATATTCCCATCGCAAAACTTCTTTTAAACTCTTCTAATATGCTTATTTATAATTTAAAGATTATAAAGTAGACTTTTGATGTGTGGAGTGGAAGTAGACGTTTCCTCGTTCTTCAACTATCTCCATGGTTCTGCTGACCCACCTCTATTTGTCTATTTGTCTTTTCTCAAATATATTTACTTATACATAGATTCGTTGTAGATTTATAACATTAATACTATATAATATAAGTAGTAAATAATGTTGACCTAATAAGCCATTCATGTAGATCATTTACATGCGCTGCCATATATTAAACGTGCGTACATATGGTAGCTACACTTATTATACTTAGATTGTATTTGGTAGATCTATATTTTGGAGATTAAACAAGATAATGTGATGTGAATGCTTATGGCAAAATATGATCGACTTTTTAAGAATTGGAGTGGTTAGATATATTAGTCAATAAAAACCTACAAATTTGATTTCAGTAACATATTTGTGTGCCCCATGACTCCCATATAAAGTGGTTCAAGTTCAAGTTCATTGGTGATACATGTATACAAATTTACACATTTTTGCGTTTTGCATTAAAAAAAAAAGTCTAGTATTTTATAATTACTTCATCTGTTTCACAAATAGTGTAATTTTAGAGTTTTAATTTTGTTACACAAAAAGTGTCATTCTACATTTCCAATGCATCTTTTACACTAGATTTAATAATTTTACGCTTAATCTAAAACTTATTAAACTCATAATTCACTTATTAAATAGGAACATATATGTATATATTAATATTTTCTTAATTTGTGTGACATGTGTCAAAATGACACTCTTTGTGAAACGGAGGAAATATCATTTATAAGTCATGTTTTAACAATTGATTTCGATATATACAAGGTAGTATAAATTACTAAAAACATTTGTGAGTTATTATATAAAAGGAAAAAAAAACATGTTAGTAAGCTACTAAAACTATTATGGTTATATTTTTGCATAAACTCTTGGGTGTGATTGTGTGAATTGTTTATGCCTAAGATAAAATCATCTTTGTAATAGAAACTTTGAACTTGAGAACATATAACAAGAAAACAAACAATCGTGAGTGTCACTGTTTAGTTGTCCAATGAGATTAAAAGAAGAAAGTATATATATATTTCACATTCCTGAAAAGTCCAATCACATTTTTATTTATAAAGGAGACTTATTGGACTTTCTTGTTGATGACAGATCATTGAAGCAGAGGACAGTCTTAGATGATCGATCATCGCAAGCAGAGAGAAAGACACGTTGAAGAAGACAATGAGAAACTCACAACCATAATTTGCTGCTCATCATCATTTCTAATTATATTTAAAAATGGTAAATTATATTTTCTTAATTTCATAATCTTTTTGCTTACCTTTTCTTTCCTATGCTCTTGGAGATATAATGTCATATCAGTTTTATAATATAGTTTGAGATTGTTCTTGAACTTTATATGTTTTGTCAGAATAATATGGCTTCTTTCTTCAATGGAGAATCTGATATGAGAGATCAACCCTCTTCTGATCTTTTTATGATGAATTTGAATCCATTCACCGAGCCGACAACAACCACTAATGGTCATAACCATCACTTCTACAACTTGTGTTTTGTGTCTCAACAACATGGACCGCGAGATGAAGTAGATCATTTAGAACAAGGAAACTCTTCTATCTCTACGTTTTCAAACCAAGAGTTAGTCTTTAAGGCTTTGGCTCCTATCTACTTGAGGGCTGCTCAAGAACTGCTGAATGAGATTGTAAATCTTGGAAACGGTAGCCATGGCGCGAAACAGAAGCAACCAATGAGTAAAGAGTCCGGGATTTATGGAAATGGGGGCATCCTTGGTGGCCATAAGCCCGGCGTGGCTGGCTATCGCCAAGAGTTGGAGATAAAGAAAGCAAAGCTCATCTCCATGGTTGAAAAGGTAACTCATTTATACCACCTAGATATATATGTGTTGCATAAACCAATGTAAGAAAATTGTATGTATAAAAACTGTATGATAAAATGGTTTAGTGTGGCTATTGTGTTTAAAATGTTTCCGAGTTTTTAGGCATCAAAGATTGGTACAAAGCATAGGGCCTTGGGGGAAGAAATCAAAAACAGATTTAGTAGCTCGTTAAATAAACTAACCTCTTACATGAGAAAGGGGGAAAAATCATATATATGTACATTTTAAGCCGTGACAACAAAAATAAAAGATCTAAATTTAAGTATGTTTTGTTGATCGGTAAAGGTTTTCAAATATTTGATTTGGGATATGATTTATGTAAATTACACAGGTTGAACAGAGATACAAGCAATACCAAGACCAAATGCAGACTATAATCTCATCGTTTGAGCAAGCCGCGGGTTTAGGCTCAGCGAACGCATACACAAATATGGCGTTACAAACAATATCAAAGAAGTTCCGTGTCGTAAAAGACATGATATGTTTGCAAATCAAACACATAAACAAGCTGTTGGGAAAAAAAGAATGTGATGATGAGAAGCTTAAGCAGTTGGAGAAGATGGCAGATCGCCATACAAATGCTTGGAGACCGCAAAGAGGTTTGCCCGAAAAAGCTGTTTCCGTACTACGTTCTTGGCTCTTTGAGCATTTTCTTCATCCGTAAGTAACGTTTACTTCTATCTTCAATTTTAGTATCGATTATAGAGTTAGTTTTGTGTAGACGTGCATGCTGATTAACTAGTTGTGTCTTGTTTTGGTTTGTGTAGATATCCAAGGGATTTGGATAAGGTAATGCTTGCTAAACAGACTGGACTTACTAAGAGTCAGGTAAATGAGAAGTTTATTAACATAATGAATTTTTGTTAATGTTAAATGTCCCATAGTACATATACAATTTTCATAACATCATCTATCAAAGGCTCGAGCCTAAAACTTAAGCTAAAAACGAAAATCTCTAGCAAAATTTATTTTGTTTCCCAAGAATTCTTAAAATTGAAACAATTTTGTAATATTATTAGATAGATGATGGTCATATATACATTTTCAAACTGATGTTTCTATTTTTAATTATAATTATCTTAATAAGAATGGTGATGATTGTATAGTGCATATATATATTTATGAAAACCTTCTAAAACAAAATCAAATGTAATTTTGTAAAGTTACTAATTATATCTTCTTGAGGAATGGTAATATTTATGAAACTTTGTATAAAATGGATGTAGGTGTCAAATTGGTTCATAAATGCTCGAGTTCGAGTGTGGAAGCCAATGGTGGAGGAATTGTATATGGAAGAAATGGATATTGAAGAAAGCAAAAAAGGAAATAACCCGAATGAAAACAGTACCAAGGCTTCATCTTCTAAGCAACCTTACAATAATACTACTTCAGATGAATCCTCCAACTCGATCCTACCCGTCTTTTATCAAAGATTCAATGAAAATGAAACCCCTATGCAAAATTCATCATCAAGTTACAGCATAGGGAGGTTCAAGAAGCATCACATGAATCAAGATAACTTCATCCATTTCCATGGAGGGTTTGAAAACTATCACACAATGGTTGGAAATGGTGTCTCCCTTTCTCTTGGCCTGCCTCATTCTTGTGACCAAACCTTTAACAACATTCAGTTTGGATCGACAAGTCAAGGAACTGAGATCTCGGGGATATATCCCTCTTCAGCTTATCAAATCATGGATTAAGAACTAATTAATAGGGATGATATTGTTTTCAGCTTGTTGCTTATGTATATTTTGTGTATAGCCTTGGCCTTTGGATGGTTTCGAAAAATGGATGTGTGTAAGATAGATAGAGAGGAGATGATTTAAGTATAGGGGTTTGATAAGAAAAAATGTAAATGACTATAGTAATATAAAGAAACTAGGTCTAGTATGGTTTCTACAGTCAGGTTTTAGTGAGTATTGTTATGGAGATGTTGATCAAAACGGTGATCACGATGGCGTAACAACGAATGCTTGAACAGATAGGTGTAAATGGAGATGAGATCAACCATGAGATCCATGTTCCCTTTTAGTTGTGTTTTTATGAATGTATGTGTGTGTGTGTGTGTGTGCCCAAAAGCCCCAACTAATCTCCCACATCTCTTGTATTTGGCTTTTTAATCTTTTGTTCAGCAAACCTATATATGTTTTAATCTCTTACTGTCCCAATGATAAAGCTACAAATCCATTAGTTATGAGCTTAGTTCTTTAAGTTCATATTTTATTTTTGAAGTTGGCTGTGAGAGTAGCTAAAATGAATACACAAATTCCATCTATATTTTGAATGGCTTGATAGGTGAATGTCCATAGGGTAGGGAACAAAACTAAGTGGAACACTTCCATAGGGTATCATAGGCATGTGCCCATCATTCCCAAGGTACTTCTAAATGGTGGTAAAGGGAATGGAACTGAGTTGAACACTTCCATACCAAACAATGATCCGGGAGATTTTGGTGCCAATGTAAGCCATCGACTTCGCAATGAAGAATTGGAGCCTATGAATCAAATCCAATGATATAGAGGTTTTCGAGGAACTATTGAGAAACATGAGTCCAAGAATATACGGTTATATAAACTCTGTTTATTCAAAGATGTTCAATTCCACAACTCTTCGTATAAACTGAGCTGCCAAGTAGATGGTGGCCTAAGGATAACCAAAGATGGTCGAAATGACCGGAGATTAGAAAGAAAGAAGAAAACTTTGGAATATGATAGAAAAAATGGGAGAGAATTTTTGGTAACATAAACACACACAAAACGGTGGTTACAAATTACATAATGAAAAATATGAATGGAGAAATTACACAAACTCTCAAACACCTCTCTCTATATGCTACATAGAATACCCCAAAACTAATACACCTCTAAGACTCCTCACCTTCTACTCACTCGTGTGGTGTATCTCGCCAAAAGACCAATACCACATATATAATAATTAATCAATACTACGAAGAAATCATATAATTATGACAAAAAAAACCTTATACCCAACAAATACTCTTCCTCACACCACTACTCAGTACTCTAGTACTCACCACCGACCTGACTTCTTTACTCTTTCATCATCTGACCTGTGAAATTCCCCAAAATCTCAGACCCCTCGTCGATTCTCAATGTGATCTGATCCATCTCGTCGGTAAAATAGCACATTGTGGATCAAGAACGGTTTGGTTGGATCTGTACGCAACATGAGGATCACCAAGAGGCGGCTATCGGGAGAAGTATGTACTCTCTCATGCGTCTCTCTTTCTCTGGGGGGGTTATATCCAAGCAAGAGAACCGCGGTCATTTGGATTTTGTGGGCGTCCTCTTGTTGGTGTTGGTGGTCGATTTGCGTTTAACTCCTGCAATATATAAATGCTCGGTTATGCCATTTTCCAGGTAGGAAAAAGAAGGAATAGTCTCTGTCTGAGAGATAAAAACCTGCATCCATGTGTCCTCTATATGTCTTTCTGGCGAAGTTTCAGGTGAGGTAATTGCTGGAGGCAATGGATGGATAAGCTTAGGAACCACAACAAGATCTCTCCCCAACACCAAGATAGCCCCAGCATTGTTTGCAGTACCTGAAAAGGAACATGATATGATTTTGTAAGATTCAGGCTTTTTTTGGCGGCTTACTAGAGAGTGTTTGGTTCCATAGACATACCACAATAGTTTGTCGCCGAAAAGAGCGTGATCAAATGCCCCTGAGCGAAACGCTCAAATCCGTCCATCACACATTCATGCGCTCGTACAATCAATTGAAGATCATTGTTGTTGCAGAACTCCATGACACGGTCAGGCTGCAATCACCAAAATCTTTGTCAGTAACAGAACCAGCAGATGCGAATTAGAATTATATTATTCAGTATCATTGTCTTGATATAGAAATTGAAGCGAACTAGAAGTATATTGTTCAGTACTGTCTAACAAGCTCATGAACAAGTCTAGAGTCGTAAGGGTCAACCAAAACAAGTACCCTTCTCCACACGTCAGAAACTTAAAATGACGAGGAAAGGAATGAACAACAAACGTATGTAAAGAATATGAAGAGAGGAGGGAAGGGAAAGAGAGTATGTAATCAATCAAAATGTATGAATTAGAGGAGGAGACCACTCACCCCGAAAGTAACCAATCCAGGACCTCTAGCATTGGGCCTTAAACCTTCGACACTGTCATTTTCAGTTGGATCGGACCTAACAGATTGCAAAATGACATACTGGTTAGACAAGGGTCAAGAAAAAAAAGTAGAATGATTAATGATATAGCATTAGACATGGACTTTACCATAGTAAATCCATAAGCACGATAGAGCCTGCTTCCATTGTAATCGGACGTTGTATATTTTCAATCTGCTCCACATGATTTATCGACCGACCAATTCCCCCATGCATACAGATTATTTTCTTTTCAATCAGTGCAGCCAGAGGTAGCCAATTGAATAAACGGTTTATCCGGTGCCACACCCAGATCCCATCACGTTCACCCTGCAAAGTAGCCACGACATGAGAACCAAAAAGTGAAAACAAGAGATTCACAGCGTTGAGACACTACCATCCGCTCAATACACTCTATCCGGAAACCAAAAAGGGCATTAATATCGGCAGCTTCATGGTTTCCACGAATTAGATGTACGTTATGTTGGTATTCAACCTGCAGTGTCAACCATTGGACGTTATACTCTTTCCTATCAAGCGTTTATAATACCTGAATAGAAAACACTAATATGATGCTCTAGTACTACCTTTAATGCAAGCAGAAGTGTAATTGTCTCTAGGCTGTGTTGACCCCGATCAACATAATCCCCTAAGAAGAGGTAATCGATATATCTGAAAACCATTGTACACACTCAGCAAGTCAGACCAACGATAGCAATATCGAAAGTAAAAATCATATAGCATTGAGAGATTTAGCTGCACACTTACGATATGTCTCCAGCTGTTGAGGGTGAACCATATTCATCAAAAAGGCGCATGAGATCCCCAAACTGACCATGCAAATCACCAAATATCTTAATAGGGGCTCTAAGCTGTAACACAGTAGGTTCACTCGAGAAGATACGTTCTGCACTGTCGCAAAGATCAGCTATTTCATTGCAATCCAAGAAAAACTGGCGTCGAACTGGAGGCTTCCACCCTCGAGGTTTCAAAAGATGAGCTACAACCTAATGAAATAGAGTTGTAACTTCATTAGAAACTATTGAATGTCAACTCGGCACCTCATACTGTTGAACAATACCCAAAAAAGTTTACAATCCTATTAAACCAAGTGGTAACATACCTACAGTATCTAACAACACTTCTTATTCCTATCAGACCAGCAAGAAAAATTATCTACAACAGTTCAAGCAAACAATCTTCCGTAGGAAAATGTAACAAATGTATAATTGTTATTCTAAATCCACATTCATGAACATAAAGCTTTCTGGAAGCAATTCATTTGGAGAGCAAAACTCTCTACCTTTTTCGGAACACTATTGATTGACATCTGCCGATCCAATAATTTCCTTGCTGCTGTAGCACTTTCAGGTGTCCCATAGCTAACACGGCGTCCCTCATTTTCAAATTGATCAATGGATAACTGTCTAACCATTCCACCTAAGGCTCCACCTGTTTCTGCAGCAACCACCACCTTACAAAGTTCCAAAATAAATGTGAAGTCAAAATAAGAAATTAGAGAAGTACGCCACTATTACATAAGGACGAAATATGTTGCGAAGTGTCTGATTTTATTTGATAAGTTAGATTGACTCACAGCTCTATGATGAAGTCGAACCCCCGCAGGAATAACACTGTTGGGTACTGCAGAATCAGGCTTAATTAATGATAATGAAGCTTTTCCACTGGGTGTAGCCTCAGCACCACGATCCCTATCCGGTAGTTCAACTTCACCGTTGACCTGTCGTGCCTTCGCAGCAGCTAAAGTTGCACTGATAGCCTCGGCTTCCGCAGCAGATGCTTCAACGAGATACTCTACACCCTTGCTTGTTCTCCTACAATGTTGTTTGATAAATATTTTTCAAGAAAAAATTCACAGGTTCGGTAACAATATGATACATCCCCAAGTAAGACACTAACCGAGTTCCTGGAACTAATGCATTTTCAGTGCTTATATCCGTATACATATCACCATTTACAGGGGGTGCAACAGGACTTCCCAGCACCACGGCATCAGGAGCTGATTCCGGTGGCTCTCCAGTCCTTTCATCAGAAAATCCATATCTTCCAGGTGAACGGCCAGGTTGTGAGTTTGTTGCTGCAGCAGCCGCAGCAGCATGAGAGGCAGCAGATGTTGTTTCCGCAGCAGCAAGATCTTCAGCAACCAATAGGTCATCAAGTAACACTCCTACAGAACAGCCAGAATACTGTTAAGTTTTGCAGCTATAATTTGTAACTAGATGCATGGGTCTACAGGAGAAGGAAAAGGAGAGCAACATCACCAAATAACAGGATGTTCAAACTAACTAATGTTGATAATACAAAGTCCCAGACTTAAAAAAAAAAGATCAAACTACTAAATTCTACATTACCATACATTGGCAACTCGATGAAATATTATACCAATTTTACATAATTATTTGGGTCTCAGATGCTGTAAGAATGGTTCATTTTCCTGGTCAAATATGTAAAAAGGTATAAAATTTGTCAAGCTTTTTTCCGTTACCTCCACGCAAACCACCATAGATAAATATCAAATCACCCACTGCAGCAGCAGCATGCCTGCAACGCCTAGTTAACTCAACAGAAGCATCACCACCAGGTGCGTCAGCACTATACCTACCAGTTCTAGGACTAGTAACAACCGATTTTGTATCACACCATACACCTGCTGCAGTATCCAACACTGAACAAAGGGAAAACATGAACCAGTCAGAGAAGCTTAGAGGAATAGATGTACTATTTATTATGAATATAATTTTGTAGCCCTTTCTACAATAGATGAGTGAACCATTTTTAACAAAATCTCTGTTTGGTCTGTTTTGGACAAAACTCAAATCAAATTTG